ACACACACACACACACACACACACACACACACACACACACACTCCCTTCTCTCTAAGCTGGATCAGATCACCTGGAAGGTAAGTCATCTTCTTGCCCTGACTCCCGTCCCTGCATCCCTGGAACTAACAGCTGCACTGGCACTCACCGGCTCATTCTTGCCCAGTTGGATGCGGTAACGGGAGATGAAGGTGGGTTTCCCTGTTGTGTCCACCACCAGCAGAAGGCCATTGAAGACCCAGAAGCAGAGCGCAGGAACCAGGGCAGCACCTGAGGCAGATAACAGAGGGAGTTAGAGCAGCCCTGGGTTCCACAGTAGCTCACTAGGAAGTGAGTGAGCACCTGCAGGGATCTGTCCCTGCCTGGTGACACACTGCTTGTGTCCTAGCCATGGAACCTGGAAAAGTCACTAAGTGTCCGTATTTGTTCTGTCTTGTCTGTCTCTGTGTGTTCCCCCCTCCACTGTGTGTGTGTTTGGGACAGGGTCTCACAGTTTACTCCAGGCTGGCCTTGAACTCATTTAACCCCTGGCTCAGCCTCTCCAATGCTGGCATTAAAGGTGTGTCTCACCACACCTGGGGGTTTGGGTTTTGTTTTGTTTGATTTGTTTTGAGACAAGGTCTCACTCTGTCCTAGGTTGCTTTAAACTCACTGATAGTCTAGACAGACCCCAAACTCATGGCAATCCTCCTGCATCAACTGACTGCTGAGATAACAAATGTTGCTGCTGTACCCTCTAAGCAGTTACTGATGACACTCCCTTTAGCTCAGAGGAGTGTTCCTTATGGATGATGAAGCTATTTGGCCTCCTATTCTATTATTCCCAGTGCTGACACTATATATTTTAGAAGTGGGAAGGTGGTGGTACAGGCCTTTAATCCCAGCACTTGGGAGGCAGAGACAGTTCTGTGAGTTCAAGGCCCTCCTGGACTACAGAGTGAATTTCAGGACAGCCAGGGCTGTCAACACAAAGAAACCCTGTCCTCCCCCCAAAAAAGAAAGAAATTTTTAGAAAAAACTGATTGAAGAAAGGAGGTTCAGAAGTTCAATGGTCATCCTCAGCTACATAGCCCATTCTAGGACATCTGGAATACTTGAAACCCTATGCCAAGAAGAAGAAAAATAGAGCCTGCAGGATGGTTAGTGTTAAAGCTCTTGTTGGACAAGCCTGATGACCTGAGGTCCACCCCACAAACCACAAAAACATGCAGAGACAGCAGTAACTTCGGGCCTGTCCTCTGACCTTCACACACTTAATGTGGAATATTCATGTCCCTGCCTACATCCCACACACAATAATAAATAATAAGAAAATGCTGACCAAGTCACACTTAATGTGGCTGTATGTTTCACGCCCACATTCTCATATCTTTAATATCCCGTCTGTGGCAGTTCCAAGGGACATGACAGTGTTACCTAACTATTGTGACCTCTTAAAAGATTGAGAATCCTGAGGGACAAGGACACTGTTTCGCATCTCTGTCTTTATCTCCTTTCTTTAACCCTTCCCTTCCCCATCAAACACGGTGTCTGGGGTGGGAGGGCTGTAGGAAGGACATGGCCAGTGTGGGAAGAGCACTGGTAGACCCATTCTGCAGGACAGTTGGAACGACTCTGAAGTGAAAAAGAGAGAGACAGACAGGAAATTCACATACGGTTGTGCATAGAAATGCTGACACAGCGTCTTTAAAACTAACAAGAGCGGGGCGGTGGTGGCGCACGCCTTTAATCCCAGCACTCGGGAGGCAGAGCCAGGAGGATCTCTGTGAGTTCGAGGCCAGCCTGGACTACCAAGTGAG